TTTCTGGTGCTTTCACTTCCAGAGACAGTTGTAAGCACTGTGTAACTGCCTCGAGGGTGCTTGACCATTTTAACACAACGTGGTGATATCATCCCCCTTGCGTGGAGTGAGGGTTTTCGACCCCGCACAACATGATCTCCTCGACCACCATTACTGTTACCGCCAAAAAAATAAACCAGAGGTAAAAAAAAAGAAACAGTAACCTGGTTGCCGAGCTCACGAAGTGATCGGCTTGTTTTACAACGTGTTGCCAAGCGACGAAAACCCAATCCCGATGGCAAACACCGGGGGGGGGGAGGGGGGAGGACGACTTCCACCTGTTTCACGGCTCGGCAGTGAGATATTCTCTTGAAGCACCCAAGGACCGACAAGATGCGTCCCGTTTGGTTCAGTGCTCTAAACCGCCGCTCACGCCTCGTCCGCGCACAGGTACACGGTGATGAACAAGTGCGACTGCGTGCTGGCGGTAAGGCAGTACGGCAGCAATGTCACCATGGAGCTCGGGCCCGGGGAATCGCGCCCCCTCCACTGGGCAGACGGAAGCCTGGAAGCCACTCTGTCGGTCAGCGTAATCTCCCAGGGGCTGACCGCGGCGGCAACAGGGAGTGCTTCGGAGATGGCGCCGACGGCGGCCCTGATGGACTGGAGCGGGCCCGTGGGCATCGGGAACATCGGCACTTTCCCCATCTGCATTCGCCCAAAGCCGGGCGGTGCTGCCCTCCCCGGTGAGACCCACTCGGGACAAACAATTCGAGAGAAAATAAATCCCAACAAAATGGAACCCTGGTCCCCTGGTCGACGGAGAGCGAGAAAGTCACGGGCGTCGGTGCTCAACGTATCGGGGGCAAAATTCTATGTAACTGCTGTAGTTTTGAGTTTGCAAACGGGGTCATTTGTTTCACGTGATCAAGGGGTTCGTTTCCTTCCCCGAGTACTTCTTGTTCGCTTTCTTTTTGCCGATTTTTCCGCGCTCAAGCGTGTACGCAACGCCAACGCTTACTGCGACGACACCGCCCCGTTGCGAGACACCGACCATTACGTTGGTATTTTCACTGTACGTGGAACGCACGTTTAGATGTGACACATATCCTCTGGGTCTGGCTGCTGCTGCTTCGACCTAGGGCGTCATGATAACCTTTCTTTTGTGTGGTCGCAGCCCTTTCTTGTATGGTGTCGTCCTCTACGATCCTCAACTGCATTTCCTTGCACGCAGTCGACTCCCACGTGGCGACGCCGCCCGAGTCGCGGGCGTCATCGCCGTCGAGTAGGGCCGGGAGCAGCGGTTGGTCTACCCCGGTCTCATCGCCGCACCGAGGGGAGGTGGAACCGATGCCGATGGTCGGTGCCAACCGCGTCCTTGGGGTGGAGGTCAATATCGGCAGGTGCGGTGGTTTGGGTGACCTAACCCGAGTTTGGCGTGGTTTTGCCGTTTGCGACGCAAGAGTCCTCCCCCCCCCC